GGTTCCCCCCCCCCCCCAGTTGTTTGTTGAAGAACTGTAGATTTGTATTCATAGAAGATTGTTTCCTGTCCTGGAGGTCCCCTTGAATCTTGAAATCAAGGATCTGGACCTAAAAAGGTCTTGTGATTTTTTTTTTCCTCAGATGTTTTGTTTCTTACTCTCTTTCAGATTTCTTGAAAATGCATCCTTTAGTGTTTTCCAGAGTTGTGTTGCTTATAAGCACAAATTTCTTCTGTGTAACTAGGTCTGGTCCAGCCACACTGGAGACACTAAGTCTGGTGATTCCATTGCCAAGGATAATGAAACTAGATTGCCATTAGAGATGGGGAATCTGTTCCATTTTTCCTTAGTTTGTTGTCTTTTTTCAAGTTTCCTCTGTGAAGTGCTCTCCAGATAATCTGACTTGAGTTGGATCTTATGCAAATCCAATGACATATTTCCCTTTGCTATTTGAGGAGATGCTCCTTATATTGTCCCGCTATCCTGCTTTGTGACATATTGCAAATAAATTTGTATTGTAAATAAGTATGGCCCTTAATTGCCTCAGTGTCTCTTTGCTTAAGGAGATCTAGTGTTTCTTTGCTTGAGGCAATTTTACAAGTCTTTTGACCTTCTTATCTGGGTGATTGCTTACATTGATTAAACTGGTGTGGGAAGTTGAGATAACTACTCTACAGCTTTTCCTTTATCCATTTCCTATTTTTCTGTGTAAGTAACTTTTTTGAATAGTCAAGTTGAGGCCGTTGTGACTTCAATCAGTTTCATTTCATATCTAGAGCCTTTCTTTCAACTTGGTTTCGACCTTTGACCTTTCCTGTAGCCAGTTACTAATCAGATTGCCCACGATGATTCAGAAAGGACTCCTACTTTGTTAACTATTTATATCCAGCTGTTAAGTTTTAATCAATTTCATTTTGTGTGCTTGTATTCTTGCTGTCTGCAGTGGCTACCGCATTCCAACCCTCCATTTTAAAGAAAGTGTTCAGGATACATAGCTGCAAGGCATATATACATATACATACATACATATATATATATACACATATATACACACACATACACACATATGTATGTTATATTTTTTATTTTATTAATATTTCTTCATTTAATGTAAAATATTTTAACATTCATTTAAAAAATTTTTTAGTTCCAAATTTTCTTCCTTCCTGCCCCTCTCCCACCCCTTGAAAAGGCAAACAGTTTGATATCCATTATGCATGTGAAGTCATGCAAAACATTTTCATATTAGGCATGTTGCGAAAGAAAATACACATACAAACCAGAAAAATAAAGAAAGTAAAAAAAAATATGCTTCAATCTACATTCAGAGTTCATCAGTTTTTTTTGTGGAAGTGAATGACATTTTTCTTCTTGGGTTCTTTGGAGTTGTCAGTTGAAAGGCTTTTGAATAGGTCTTTTTCCCCATTCTAACTCCCCATCCCACCTTCACACTGGATATTCCAAGCATCTATGTAAAAGTTGATTTGGTTTGGAGGATCTTGTCACATTTTGGGTTTTTTTTAAATTTTAGGCAAATACTAAAGCTTAAATATGTAATAAGAAAAGAAAAAGAAATATATTATAAACTTAAATATAAAATATTTCTTATTGCTTTTTGAGGAAAGATTGAAACCAATGCCTGCCAACACCTTTACTTGCTTCCCCAATAATAACCTATGAGCCATCCTTCCATTTAATTGAAACTTCCTCTTGTCTCCATTTCATTTGTGAGAATGTCAATATTGATATGATTCACTTCCTCTACTAGTGTGTCAGAGTCTTGGTCATAAGACAATAGGATCTCACATTTAGAGTGCCAACAGTTAAGTTAATGTTGATAGATGGTCTAAAAATTGTTTGATTCTTAGCACCTTTTGCCCCCTTTCCTCCTGTTTTGTGATTGTCACTCCAGAAGTAGAAGGGAGCCCAAACAGGGTTTGGGGTTGCCGTGGTTGAAAAATCCATCACCTACCAGCCAGCCTTTCTTGGAGAAGAGCCTTTCTTTACTTAGTTGGTAGGTAATGAATAGTAGGCTCAGTCTTCCACCAGGACTATGCTTAAAACTTTTGCAATTTGAGAGGGCATAAGAAGAAGGGAATAAACATTTATTAACCTATGATGTGCCTGGTGTTGGGCTAAGTGCTTTACAAATATCCCATTTGATCCTCACAACAACCCTGGGAGGCAGGTATATAATAACTTATTATCCCCATTTTGCTGATGGGGAAATTGAGTGAGGCAGAGGTTAAGTGACTTGCCCAGGGTCACCCAGCTAGTAAGTGTTTGAGATTGGGTTAGAGCTCAGGTCTTGCTGACTCCAGGCCCAGGACTCTTTTCACTGTGTCACCTGGCTGCTTCCTCTAAGGGACTTTAGAGATATCTAGTCCAAAATCTCCATTTTATAGGGGATAAAATTAAGGCTCAGAGCTATTATGGCTTACCTAAAGTTGCTCAGGTAACAGGAGATAGAGCCAGGACTTAAACTCAGGTCTTCTGATTCTAAAGTTCAGTGCTCTTTCCAATGTAGCATATTGCATGTAGTCTACCTGCCCCCCTTGTAGGCAAGCAGTGCTCTGAGTATAGGGATCTTGATTAATAAATCATCTTTGTCCTCTGTTACATGCAGAGCACCGAACACAGAGGCAGCTGGTGACACTGTGGATAGAGCTCTGGACCTGGAGCCAGGAAGACAAATTTGACCTCAAACACGTAATAATTGTGTGACTCTGGGCAAATCACCTAACCTCTTTGCCTCAGTTTCCAAATCTGTAAAATAGCTATAATAATAGCATCTACCTCCCAAAGTAAGGATCAAATGACATATTTGTAAATAGTTTAACATAGTATCTTGTTACATAACAGGTATTTAATAAATCCTTCTTTTCTTGCTTCCTCCCTCCCTCCCTCCTTCCCTCCTTCCCTCCCTCCCTCCCACCTAAGACTCACAGAGGAAAGCAAAAGAGGGCAAACGCCAGCTCATATAGCACATTCCAAAAGTCTTAGGGCAGTTTTTAGCTTTAAAAATCACACTTTAAAACTGCCCTAAGACTTTTGGGACACTGTATAATGCCTATCATAAGTGTTATTGGAAAGATCATAAATTTAGGTCTGGAAAGAAACTCAAGAGGCCATCTAGTGCCACTCCCTAATTTTATAGATGAGAAAACTGTGGCTTGGGGAGTTAAAGTGACTTCTTGTAGCATTACTTAATAGGTAGTATATGTTTGAGCACAATAGTATTTGAACTCAGGTCCTCTGACTCTAGGGTCAGTGTTCTTTCTCCTGTGCCTTGCTGCCTTCTTGGTCTGGAAGCTTTCCTGTGTTTGACCTATCTTGAATGAGCCATAGGATTTATCTTTTTTTTTTTTAATTATTATTGTTATTTTTCTTTTCATATCACTTTCATTTCCAAATCTGTCATCCCCTTCTCTCCAAAAAGATCCGTACCATGTAACAAAGGAGATAAAAAGGAAGAAAAAAAACTTTTTAGTAAAACTAACCCATCATCTAATTTAACAGTATAATATAGGCAATATTCTGCACCCATAGTCCCCTACCTACCTCTGTAACAAAGAGAGAAAGATGTATCTTTTTTTCTTCACTTTGGGACCAAGCTTGGTCATTATCCTTGTCCAACATTTAGTTTTTTTGTACTTTTCATTTACATTTTTGTCATTGTATATATTGTTTTCCAGGGTCTGACTTATATCATTTCAACAGTTCATCCAAGTCTTCCTCTAATTGCCCTGTGGTCTTTCTTATGGTGCTTGCTGTACCATTTCATTACATTTATGAACCACAATTTGTTTAGCTATCCCCCAATTAAAGGGCATCTACTTAGTTTTCAGTTCTTTCCTATTGTGAGTGCTGCTATAAATATTTTGGTGTAAATAGAACCTTTCTTTCTATGTTTGACCTCCTTGGAGTATACACCTAGCAGTAAGATCTCTGGGTCAAAGGATATAGGCATCTTAATCACTTCCTTAGCATAAATCTAATTCCTAGAATTTCAGCAAGCAGAAACGAAGAAGGAAAGGCTTTCCTGGGCTGGAAAAGAGTCTCAGGAAAGGTAATATGGAGAGGAGATGTGATGCCGAGATCAGCCTGCCCAGTATGAATGATGAGGGGGAGAGAACATTCAACAGACATTTTTTCTATGAATAATATATTTTATTCCCCCCCAATTACATGTAGAAACAATTTTTAACATTTAAAAAAATTTTTTTGAGTTCCAAATTCTCTCCTTCCCTTTCCTCCCTCATCCCTGATACAGTAACCAATTTTATACAGGTTATACATATGCAGTCTTGCAAAACATATTACCGTATTAGTCATTAATGAACACTTTAAAAATACTTACTATGTACCCGGCCATGTGCTATATGTTAGACTAGAGCATTTCCAAATTCTAGATAAGACAAGGATTCTGCCCATGTAGTGTTTACAGACAAGGTTGAGACTAGATTTTTTTTTAAACCAAGCGTTTTATTAAATACCTACTATGTGTCAGGAATCACGTGAAGTACTCTACAAATAGTATGTCGTTTGATCCTTACAAGAACCCTGGGAAGTAGGTGTTATTATCCCCATTTTTCAGATGAGGAAACTGAGGCAAACATAAAATGACTTGCTCAGAGTCACCCAGCTAATAAGTATCTGAGGCTGGATTAGAATTCAAGTCTTTTTGACTCCAGGTCTAGGGCTCCATATCCTTCACCCCCTAGCAGTCTCTAGATTGTGTCTATGCCTTGCACATAGTATGTGTGCAAATATATGTTGAATAAATGCATTGTGGAGGCCATTGACTTAAATTTTGGCCAAGGAGTCTGGAAGGAATTTTTGTAGGGGATACTCCTTGTGATCTTGAAGTAGAAGTCAGATATGTGTGACACCTTGTGTGATAAACAGTCTTAGATGTGCCCAGCCCTGAGTCTGTTCTTAAATGGGAAGGAGTGCCTACAAACATCCCATCTTATTCTTTCTTCCTTGACTTCTTCCAGAATTGCTGGGACTGGTGCGCAGGCGTGGGAGTCCAGAGCCCCTGCAGTCCTTCCAGGAGGATCAAGGTGACCACTCAGGGCCCACCCAGCTTCTCCTCACCTGCTGGCGGCCATGAACGACGTCGCGATTGTTAAGGAGGGCTGGCTGCATAAGCGAGGTCAGTGTCACTTGTGGTCCCCAGCCCAAGGGGTCCTGGGAACGCTGCAGTTTGGGATGCTTAGTCTGCTTGCTCTATATATAGGTCGGCCTTGTGATAGAGTGATTTAAATTTAGAATATGTGGGTTCAAATCCTGGCTTTGCTATTTGCTTACCTGTATGACTTTGGGCAAACTATTTAATCTCCCTGGGGCTTGGTTTTTTTATTTGTAAAATGAAGGAATTAAACTGGATGATTCAGGGTATTTCTGTATCTCTAGATTTCCATTTCTGTATCTGTGGCCTTACAATCCTGGCAGGGTGTTCTGGGTGTTTGAAGAAGGAGTCAGAAGCACTGGTGGGGGTGGGTGAGTTCTTAGATGTGTTCTGGCCAGAGAACAGAGATCCCAAAGTACTGATAGAAAACTAGAGAACCCTCTTCCCCTGATTCCCCCAGGGTGTCTTGTCTTTTTTTTTAAAAAATGATTACTATTTAAAATTTTTACTTTGCCAAATTTCTCCTTTCTCTGTGTGTGTGTGTGTGTGTGTGTGTGTGTGTGTGTGTGTGCCTTCCTTTGCCCCTTCTTAAAGAGTCATCCCTTGTGATAATTTTTTCAAAGAAAGAAAAAGAGGAATAACAGGGGAGACCCCCCCCAATTCTCTGCAAAGGGGAGTCTTTTTGTAGCTCTTTGGGGCCAAGCTTCGTAATTTTGCAGCATTCTTTTTGTTGTCAGCATTTATGTTGCTGTCATCCCTTCTGTTGACATTGTTGTAGTTACTGTGTATCCTGGTTTCTTGGCTCTGATTACTTCACTCTGCATCAGTTCATGTAAGTCTTTTCCCTGCTTCTGAGAGAAGCTTTTTTGAGCATAGTTTTATTAGGTCTTAGAACTGGTCTGGTGCTGGACTTGGGGAAGGGATTCAGGGGGATTCCAGATATATAGGGCTAAGTGAGGAAGGAAGCCACATCTGGAGGCCTGGTCTGAAAGGGAGACAGCACTCAGGGAATAGATCACCACAACAACTGTTGCTGACGTGTCCACAGAGCCTAAGCTTTCCCAGGGAGGCCTCACATACATTATCTCATTTGAATCCCACAACAACCTTGTGAGAGAAATGCTCCAAATGTGGTGATCCCCATATCACAGATGAGGAACCAGAGGCTGAGAGTCTTTCCTAGGGTCACATAACCAGTAAATGGCTGTGGTGGGGGTCTTCTTCTTCTTCTTCTTTTTTTTAACATTAGTCATGTTGTGAAAGAAGAATCAGAACAAAAGGACAAACCACAAGAAAACAAAAAACAAAAAACAAAAAAAAAAAAGAGAAAATAATATGCTTCGATCTGCATTCAGACTCCATGATCCTTTCTCTGGATGTAGATAGCATTTTCCATAATGAATCTTTTGAAATTGTCTTAGATCATTGCCTTGCTGAGAAGAGCTAAGTCTATCAGAGTGAATCATTGCATAATGTTGCCATTACTGTGTACAGTGTTCTCCTGGTTCTGTTCACTTCACTCAATATCAGTTCATACAAGTCTTTCCAGGTTTTTCTGAAATCTGCCTGCTCATCATTTCTTATAGCATGATAGTATTCCACTACATTCGTATACTGCAGCTTGTTCAGCCATTCCCCAAGTGATGGGCATCCCCTCAATTTCCATTCTTTGCCACCACAAAAAAAGCTGCTATAAATATTTTTGTACATGTGGGTTCTTTTTCCTTTTTTATTATCTCTTTGGGATATAGAACTAGTAGTGGTATTGCTGGATCAAAGCGTATACATAGTTTTATTGCCCTTTGGGCATAGTTCCAAATTGCTCTTCAGAATGGCTGGATCAGTTCACAACTCCACCAGCAATACATTAGTGTTCCAATTTTTCCCACATCTTCTCCAACATTTGTCATTTTCCTTTTCTGTCATATTAGCCGGTCTGATGGGTGAGTCCACCCAGGTCTTCTTGAATGTGACTCTAGTGATGTGTCTGCCTAGGCCATGCTGTCTGTCCACAAGACAGGATGGTGGAATAGGGTTAATTGTGTAGCTCAGACTGAGGGGTATTGGAACTTATAAGAGCTTCGTGGGCTGGGGAGAGGTAAGGGGAGGGGCAGGTAGTCTGTCTTACCTAAGTTGTAGCTTTTTGAGTGCCAGGCTATGTACACAGCAGGTAATTAATGAATGTTCCTTGAGCTGGCCTTGAGGGATGAGAGATGGGAGGGGGCATTCTGGGTGTGTGTGTGTGTGTGTATCCAAGTAAAATCTTGCAAGTTGGAATAAAATGCTAATGGGGTCCTCTATGGTAAGATTTTAGGGGTCAGCCAGGAAAAGCCAGGAGCAGAAAGGAATGGAATCATTCTCTCAGTAGGACTTGGGCATAGCTCTATCAATTAAAAAACCTGTTTAGCCCTATCAAGTAATCAGTCAATAAGCATTTACTAAACACTTTCTATGTGCCACGTACCGTGTTATGCTTTTAGGATACAAAGAAAATAGGGGATACAAAGAAAAAGCAAACAGTCCCTACCCTCAGGGAGCTTATATTCTAGAGGGGGAGTCAACATATATGTAAATAGGTACATATAGGTTACAGAGTTATCTCTCCTTGGGGAAGGCACTAGCAGCTGGAGGGACCAGGAAAAAGTCTCCTGTACAAGTTGAATTTGAGCTGAGTTGAAGAAAGCAGGGATTCTAAGAGGTAGAGGTAAGGAGGGAAAGCATTCTAGGCATGAGGTACAGCAAACACAAAGGCCTGGAGGCAGGAGATTGATTAAACAGTGTGCTATGAGGAACAACAAATGGGCCAGCATGGCTGTTCAGTAGAGTACAGGAGGGGAGTGAAGTGTCAGAATGCTGGAAGGAGAGAAAGGGGCGAGGTTGTGAAGACCTTTAAATGCCCAAGTCTTTTATTTGTCCTTCGAGGTAAGAGGCAGCCTCTGGATTTTAAGATACTAATTGTAAAAGCACTTAGCACTGTGCCTCACACATACAGTAAATTCTATGTAAATATTAGCTGCTATTTTTATTATTATTGCTATTATTAAGGAAGGTGACATAGTTTGACCTTTTAGCAGCTATGTGAAGAGTGGATTGGAACATGAGTGAACAATTAGGAGGCTGTTGCAGTTGTCCAGTACAGAGGTGATGAAGGAAAGAGCTCGGGAGTTGATTGTGTGAGTGGAGAGGAGGAAATATGTTCTAGAGATGTTGAGTGACTAGAGCACCCTTACCTGGGTGACTAGAGCAATGGTGATACCCTGTATGGTAATAAAGAAGTTCAAAAGAGGGGTGGGTTTTGGGGAAAAGATAATGAATTCTGTTTTGGACATGTTTAGTTAGAGGCGTGTCTGGGCCATCTGGGCAGTTAGTGAGGTGGAAGCCATAGTTTGGGTTGTTTTTTCTCCTGGGGTTGCTGAGGCTTTATGCGTGAGTCTAGAATGAGTGATGGAGAGCCACGTGGCTTGGCCACTTTCTTCTTAGGCCAGCCTCTCTGGGAGCTAGTTCCTCTGCTTTGAGCAGGGCGGGGTCCAGTAGAACTGTGGGTTTTCCAAAGCTGTGGGCCCCCAGGCTGTTTTATCAATGACCTCACCTAGCTCCCAGGGCTGTCTCTGGCTTTCCTGGAAAGAAAAGGAAAACATTAGGTGCTTTCCACTTTCTACAAATTGACTGGACAGAGGTCTTCAATTCTGTACCTTGAGAGTTGGAAGGAACCTTAGAATCATGTCACACAGAACTGGAAGAGGGACCCTTAGGGACCGTCTTTTCCAAACCCTCTTATTTTGTGGAGGTAGAAACCAAGCCCTAGGGAGGGGAAGGAACTTACCCAAGGTCACATAGCAAATAAGCAGAAAGACCAGAGACCAGAACCCAGGTCTCCTGGCCCCGAGCCCAGGACTCCATCCTGTCTCTCATTGTTACTTCTTTGAGGGAAGGGATCAGATCATATTTTCATTTTCCATCTTCCTCTGCTCCCAGCACATAATAGGTGTTAATAAATGCTTGTTAAATTGAAGTTTTCAGACCTTTGTATAGTAGAAAGAGTATTGGCCCCGGAGGCAGGGGTCCTGGCTTAGCACCCTGGCTCCAACATTTCCCAGTTGGGTCAGGGACTTTACCTCCCTGAATTGGCTCTGTAAAATGAGGATAAAATGCCTGCCTTATGTAGGGTGGTCAAGAGGCTAATGCCGTCTAATCTTTAAGACCTTCACTTGAAAAACCTAAATAATCCATGGGGGTTATTACTATATTTCAAACTCTCTGTGTGATGTTGGATAGTTCTCTCTCCTTCTCTGGACTGTAGTTTTCCTATCTGTAAAATTAGGGCTTTGGAATGGAAGTGTTTAAGGTTCTTAGGGGCTACATATGTTAGCCTATCTTATCTTAATCCTTTGCTTTGGTCTGAGTTTTCTTGGTCACCTTAGGTTAGGAGGCTTTTCTTTCCTCTGGTGATATGGGCTGAGGGCCAAGCTGGAGGCTGGGTCTCTGAGACGTGCTTCTTAGTCAAGTAGTAAGAACCCATAGAAGCAGCAGTGACTTGAGATCCCTGCTCTTTTTCCTTATCTGTTTGGAAGGGGAGCTTCTGAGGGGGTGCTAGTCAGGGGATCCCAGTCATTGTCACAGAATCTGAGTTGAAAGCCACCTCTGAGTCTACTTCCCTAGACCCATATGGGGTCAAGATTCCTCTCACTATGTTGCGCCTGACAAGAAATTCTAATGACCTTACATCAAGCATAAATTTATTCCTCTTTCACTTCTTTCCATTTTGCCTAGTTTAGTTCTTGGGGCCGAGCAGAAAGTCCAATTTCCCTCAATACTGGAAGATAGCCCTTCTGGGAGGGAGGAATTATACTACTTGGAAAGAGTCCTGGCTTTGGCATCAGGGGACCAGAATTCAAATCTCCCATGCTATATGTGTGACCAGGGGCATGTGACTTGACCTTTTTGGGGGCCTCAGTTTCCTTAACTGTAAATGAGGGGCTTGGACTAGCTGGTTTCTAAGGTCTCTTCCAGTGACAGATTATAAT